GGATTTGAAAAATCAGCACTGAGAGAATCTACAGTGGAGTCTGATTTGCTCGTCAAAGGGATTTATTTGAAATTTTTTTTTCTATAATGTTATCATTTTATCAGTACCATAGATATATAAAATACCTAGATAGCAAACTCGTATCTATTATCAAACGCCATTTACAAGTTGAGCAAAAACGATAGTGAATTATTGATATTTAACGGTTGTTATTCTTATTATTATAGTTGTGTTCATTATAAGATAATAAATATCGAATCAATATAAAAATCGATAATACTTCAAATTGTTGTCAAGTCAGTATACAGAGTTTGTTATCTAGTTATTTTATACATCTATAATCCGTACCTATAGTAAACTATATAAGGCAGGTAACATACAGAGGGGAAATTTGTTTAATAAAATTAACGATCTACGAAACATATTATTTCGTAGTCAATATACTCAATACACAAAGAACAAATTTGTTACATAATTAGTATTTTTTTCTGCCTACTTATACTCAACAGTACATAGAGCTCATTTTAGTTATAATAATAATATATACCTAATATAGTAATAATCATAATTATAATAATTATGATTAATAATTCAAAGTATTAAAAAAAGACGTCCTAGGATAATGGGGACGGGTGCAGCCACTGTTCTAGATAATTTAATGTAGATAATGTATACCTGTAAGCAACGATAAACCATTGCTTACGAAAAAACGATTCTGAGCGGAGTTCAGTTGATAGTGAGGCTTTGTCAATAATACATATATCATTTTATAGTAAAATCATTAAATAGACTTTATATATATTTTCTTTAATAATATTTGTTTAATTTTATACCGATTTTCCCAATTTTTCAACGTTTTTCACGGTTTTCTCATGTTTTAGCCTGGTTTTTCAAATTTGCTGGAAAACCCCTGAGAAAATCTAAAACAACCATATTATGTTTAACTAATACCCATATTTCTTACATTTTCTCGTTTTTTCTCCGTTTTTTTTTCGGTTTTTCACATTTGGTAAGAAACCTCCTAAGAAAATCGAAAAATGACCTCCTTATAGTACCCACCCCCTCCACACCGATTTCCTTTCAGAAAACGTGCTGCACTTAGAAATCCGAGCAAGTCTTCTGGTAAAAAAAGTTGTTTACAAATAAGAAAAAAAATAAACATCTTTGTAAAACCATGTGCTGCTTTGCTCCACTCAGAATCATAAATCTCGACATTAAATACGTCAATTCGTCCGTTTATCGCTGTAATTATGTAATCAAGTACCTACCGCTTGAAGTCGGTTTATAATTTATAATTTATTACTATCAATATAACATAAAAGCACAGTTAGTTAGATAACATAATAATATGTAGGTATTGAAAAATTACAGATAAATTAAATATTACCATTTTCATTCTGAAAATCTGTAAATTCTGAAAATATCTGAAAAATTGTATGAATATTTTTCTTATTTGCCAATTATTATGTATTATTCAATTTTTTTTATTACTGAATCCAGTGACGAGCGCAGGGGTAATTTAGAGGTTACTATATCCCCACTCCATTGGCTCAAATACACTCTTATGAGTGTTTATTTCGTATTTTTATATTGAAATTATGTAATTTAGTTAAATTACTAAGGAAAAGCTCGTTTTCTTAAATAAAAATTATCTTTTTTGAATCTGGCGTTTAAATTCACATTTTCGGATTAAATACCTATAACCAATGAAGATTCTACAACTTATTCATGAATCGTGATTATTATTTATTAAATCCCCTTCCATTTAAAATGTCTGGGCACGCCACTAGCCAAATCACCCCTTCAGAAATTGGAAACTATAAAAAGTATAATATTATTTTTGTAATGACGACGGGCACGCATACACTATTCATTATAAAATTCCGAATCTACTATCCATCATAAGTATAATATGCACACGTCATGATATTAAAAAGGTGTAGATGTAAGTATTATACACTATCGGCTGAAATCGTGTCCCTCCCTCGAAAACTTTCTCCCGGCACGCACCTATCGTAGAATAATAACTGTAATACATATCACGAAATCTGTTCGACTAAAATCGAATAGAAATGTTAATAATTTAGCAGTGTTCACCGGATGTTAACCGTGATATAACCTACGTTTTACGTACGAGTAGACGATAATATAACACAATAATATTATTGCGTCAGCAGAGACGACTTTGTGCTGTTCGTTTTAATATTAGAGCAGTCCATTGTCATACTCAAAGTGCAACTACATTTGGTTTTCCCTAGATATTTTAGTTTTTAAACGAGATATGAGAATTTTTAAATAATTGTGATACTTCACATAGGTACTCATATCTTGTTTAAAAATAATTAAACGGTTCTTACGTAAGTTGACAACACTATGTGTATATGCTCGTATAAACCATGATATCGGAAAAGGTACCAATCTGTAATTATTATTGGCTTGTTATTAACCACGACGAAGTACGTCTTACCGTATTCAAATATTATGTGTTAGTACTGTCAAATAAATAGTAAATTATTAAAAGGCCGTTACATCAGTGGCATTTGCCGTCTCTGTTTTTTGAACGGGCTATAAGTCCTACTTAAAGTAGCCAATCTGTTAACATATAACAATGAAAATACTTTTAAATGTTAATTTTTTTTTAGTTGTAAACAGCTTTTCTTCCAGAAATCTTGATCCGATTTTCAAATGTTGTTTTTTGATTTTCCTGGCAGTTTTTATAATAATTAGGAAAAAACGTAGGAAAACGGGAAAATGTATTAAATTTATTATTTTCAATTTTGTTTTTTATTGTGATACATTTAAAATACATTTCGTAGAGACTTAAAATTTGAACACACAACTTATATTATTCTTTTTTACACGTGGTAACATTTTCAAAACATTAATGCCATTTTTGAACTATCGACATTTTAATTTTAAGAGATTTTGCATGATATTTATTTAGTATGGATACTCTGTGGATAAAATTGTTATAAACTAAACAGAAATGTTTGAAAATTTAACAGAAGTTTAATGTACGTAATATGAGTTATACTTTGTGGTAAAAACAATAAAACAAATAGAGCGTAGGCGATGACAAATTTTTGATAAGAATTTGAATGCCAAATTTTGACAAAAATCGTAAATATTACGGCATTTCAAAACATGTATTACCGAAGTCCGCTCAGAATACATTAAATTCATCCGTTTTGTTGAATACATAATATAATTTCCATTAAACCTGGTATATAAGTTGCCTATAAAATAAGTTTTAACGCTGTATTTCCTTCAACCCTACATCATATAAATGTCTTAGTACATATTTTTTAATAATCAGTTTATCATGACTTCAAATGGTTTTAAATCCTCTATAAATAATATAAAATAACTTGTTCTCACTGACTGACTGATTCATCATTGCTTAGCTCAAACTACCGGACGTATCTATTGCAGAAATTTTTCCCACAGATATAGTATTTGTTATGACGTAGACATACGCTAAGTAAGGAATTTTGAAAATGTAATCCTAAGGGGGTAAAGTTGGGGTTTTAGGTATTTTTAGAACTAATATCTAACTGTTTCTTTATTTATTTTTGTTTATTCATAGGTTACCTTGATGGCTTGATGAAATGGATGACAATTTGGTTGTCACGGACAAGAAAACTATTATTATTATTATTATTTACACTATTGTTTAATAATAGAAAAACATTACCGGGTCAGCTAGTTTATTATAACTTTGTTGGATACTTTTTCTTAAATTGTGTGCCACACAGAACTTCTTTCGATAAAATTATAGGTTAGGTAACTTATGGTACAATACCAAAAAGAAAAAAAGAGTTTATATTGCTGTTAGCTAATGTAGTACTGTTGTAGACTATTGTACTGCAGCTGTAGTCACTGTTGTAAGTGGGAGATTGAGTTTATAGAATACATCAAGTTATTCATTTATATCTGTAAACAACGATAAACCATTGCTAATGTAAAACGATTTTGAGCGAAGTTCGTTTTCATATGATTTTAAAATATTTGTAAAAATATAATTGATCTTAAAACCATTGTAAAAAAAAAATTACTACATAGCACTATATATTTTATTTTTATTACTAATGACGATAACTTTATGAACCTTCTATTAAATGTTTAAGCATTTATGCTTGGTCGAACAATTATATCCACATATTACCTACCTAATAAAAACTACGTAAAAAACTCGTAAACCTAAAATACCTATAAATAGCTCAAAAAACGTAAACAAATTTATCACGTCCAGAAAAGACATGCAAGTATAAGTTTTTTGTTAAAGTTTCAAGTCTACGAATATTTTTAATTGAATTACAACAAAAAAACAAAATTGAAAATAATAAAAACAATTATTTTCGTAAACTTTCCCATTCTTTCTACGTTTTGTTTAGGTTTAGCTCAATTATTAAGAAAACTACACGGATCAAATCAAAAATAACTTTCTTTTTTTTCGGTATACGATTAAAAATGCAAAAAAATAAGATTTCATGTCATTGTTCGATTGGAGCAAGTTTTTTGTTCCTAAGTTGTTTACATCAGACAAAAAAAAACACACATACACATCATTGAAAAAGTATAGTAAAACCAAACCCTCGCTCTGCTCCGAATCTAAAATATTGCCAAAAAAAAAAAAACAAAAAAAGTTTTATGTTAGTTCGGATATTTAACACCAAAATATCTGTTTTAGTCTATCAATCTTTTATCAATTATTTTTACATTCATTGCAGGAGTACGACATACCCTTCCTCCTTGGGTCCTAGTGCCACATTATATGTATTTTTCACCGCGTTTTCAAATAACAGATGAATACAATATATATTTACTTATGGTACTTACCTACTATCTACTGTTTAATTAAAAAAAAAAAACAAATATTCCTACTACACGTCTCGTTATATTATCTCAAAACCTAACAGCCTTGGAGAAAACGAATTTTTTTATACAGAATCGCTCCTTTATATAGTTTGTTCAATGTAATTTTAACGCTATTCGAAATAGTTATTATTGTGACTTACAAGTTGTAAGTAAACATAATATCTGGGTTCAAAATGGACACTAAAATCGAATATGCCGTCGAAGTGAAAAACGTTTGCAAGTCGTATCCTCCAGATTTTACAGTGTTAGATGGGTTTAATATGAATGTTCCTAGTGGCAGCATGTGAGTTATTTTATAAATTTATATTTTTATGTTTTATCACAAAAAGAAAAAAAAGAAATTTAACTGTTCGATAAACATTTTAAAAACGTTGAACTTTATTTTCATATTGTTATAATATAATATTACAATTATTTCGATTTAAAGCATTATTTACATAACATTATGCAAACAATGCCGTTTTAATTTAATTTAATTTTTTTAAAATGTTCAAAATTTTAATACAATATAAATTTAAAGTTGATAGTTAAAGTTTATGCGATTTACGAATCTGTCATAATGATTCGTCAAAGAAAAAAGTCAGGTGAAAAAAAGTTCAACGGTGGAAAGTATTATTTCAATGTAGGCGTAATTCTATAATAATTATTTGGACATTTTTCATCGTGAGAATTTTTTATTCACAGGACTTTGAGGATGAAAATTAATATAATCTAGTATAAAAATCGAAATAATGTCTGTATTTGTCTGTTTGTATATCTAGCTGCTGTATATCCGTTGCTATAGAAATCTCTAGTTTTATTTACAATTTGTGCCCATGACATTTAAAACTGCTGCTAGAGAAAGATCGCTTTAAAATTTTTATTTTAAAATTTAAGTAATAGGTTAAGGGTGCTGGGAGGCTCAGGTTTGACTTTTGATATTTCAATATGACCTGGGTTAGGTACTTTCATGACACGGATGAAATTTTAAAAATAACAACAAACGGATATATTTTGCACGATGGGTGAGCCAATATTGCATGTACGAAATTGGGAACATATAAAGGGAAAATTAAATGTATATTTATACGCAATTATTAATCATTGCTAGCGAAAAACGATTCTAAATAGAGTTTGATTCTACATGTTACTACGATTTTGAAATAATACGTTTCGTAAATTTCCCCGTTATTCCTACGTTTTTTCCAGGTTTTTCCCAATTATTTTGAAAACCGATAAAAACAAATAATAATAAATATCATTGTCATACCAATCCCGGGATTGAGCCCGGGAAATATCGCGTGATTTAGCTATAGCAATTATTGATCATCATGAAAATTTATTATTCATGATGTGATTTACGAATCGAGGGATTTGTCGAAGGAAAAAGTCCGGAGAAAAAAAATTACCTATTTGATATTTCTATATAATAAATAATTATACACATATAGCCATTTACATATTTTTTACATAAATAATTGGACAGTTTTTATAGTGGCCAATTTATTCTTCATCTTTATCTAATTGTATAGACGGTGTACTGGTATAATTAAGTAATATTACAATATCATCGTCTTTATCTGTAGCGTCCGTAATACAATCGGTACGCACTCGGATCATATACGTATTGTGTTGGCCACAATGTAGGTAATACAGGTACCTGTATACAAAAAGTATGAAAACGCGTTTCTGTAATTTATTAATCGTATTATATATTATATAAGCACTGAATGAACCAAAGGGCGTATGTATTACTGTATATAACACAATACACTCATTATCTCGGAAAGCATTAATTTTTTTCGGAATTTGTTTTCTAGAAGATTTAAGAAACAAGTAGATCTACAATTTTATATTTATGTTATTTTTGCCACTCTCATTTTTGCCAGTAAAAACACTACCTATTTTTAATTTTCAATTTTCATTAAAATGTCCATAAATAGATGAATAAATAGTGAAAAAGTGCCTGTAATCGAATTCGCCAATTAATTACTATTATTATGGCTAATTGACTGTATTTCACATTTTTCTCTGAACTTAAAACAATTATTAAAAATAACCAATTTAATGAAAATAATAAGTTATTTTTTAAGCTTTTCACCAAAACATAAAAATATTATTGAAATATAAATATTTGTGGTTGTCATCTATGTGAGTAATGTAAAAAAAAAAACAATCTGATTATCTTTATTATTTCCGGTGTTAGTACAATGAGTATATCTTTGTGGGACATTCTGTATACATACATGTATTATTATACATCATTGATTTTTTTAATGATCTTGTATAATATAGAGTATTTTTTTTTCTAAATGTCCGTACACTAGTACTCTGTTCCAGTGTTTCCCAATCTTTTTGCAATGACGACCCATAAATTTAATCTTTATTGGATACGCGACCCCTGCTAAAAAAAAAACAAGTATGCTATAAATAAATAAGATTTGTATTATAATCAATTTTATCATTGAATTTTTATAAAATACAATATACTGAATAATAAAAACATAATAAATAAATTAAATAAATTATAAAAAAAATAAAAAAATATTAGTATAATAATATGAAAATTGCATAATTTATTGCTGAATTCAGTGTGACTGGTGATTCTGGATGCTGTTGCATAAAATTTCCCACTGGGGTACAATTTCAGATAAACTGATGCGCATGTCATGTGTGACATCTAATCTATTTCTTTGTTTTGTTTTAATATTGGCTATGGTAGAAAATATTTTTTCGCACAAATAAGTGGTAGGAAAAAGTAATAGTTTTTTTATTGCATTAATTGAAAGTTCTGGATATTCATTATATACCGCACAACAAAAATCTACAAGAGTTTCATTTTTAAATTTATTTTCATAAACTTTATCACAAGAAAGTTCGATAATCTGAGTTTCAAGAAGCGTATTGAAGTTCAACTCTTCAATAGAAACAGTGAAAGCATTTTCAATCCATTGAAAATCGTCACGAATATCTTTTGAGAAATAACTAATTAATGCAATTGATATTTGATTTAAATGCAATGAAATAATTGTTTTGATATCAGTGACATTCGCTGAGTCGTCTTCTTCTAGAAACTTGCTAAGTACACAAAACATATCAATATTTACTATTTCTACTTTGTTTTTGTAAATAATAATTTTTTTTTTTGAACGAAGCAATTTTTTTTGACTGGTCAAAAATGTCAAAATGTAGTCTCGATGTACTGCTCGTTGCTCAACTATAATATGGATTATGGACAATCGACCGACACCGATCGCATCGGTCATCTAGCCATTAAAACATTTACCGATAAGATAAGAAATATTCCATAATCGTAATAAAATAACATAAATATTACTAAAAATGTAATGTATATCCAATGTAAATAAAATATAACATAAGCATTTATCCATTTACGGCTAAAATAACCGTAATCCGCGACCCATAAAAAAAATTTCGCGACCCGTGCTTTGGGAAACGCTGCTCTGTTTTGTAAGATACTCTGAACGCACGACGACGTACCATTATTTGTTCTCCTTGTGGACGCGTTTTATACTCACACAATGCACAAAAAACACCTTATTGCTCTATACGTGAATTTACGACGGCTTATTTAAACCGCCATCTATATAATATACTTGGACGTTATTATGTCGCCATACAGATTCGTGAACGATGTTATATAAAATGAAATAGGTTTGCCCGGGTTGCCATATGACGCTAAGACACGCTGAGACGGCTATGAATTACTGGATCAATATAACGGGGTGCGTACAGAATGTGCTTGGAGAGCGGGTGGGCGCGGGGTTAAATTCGTTCGGATTCCTTCAGAAACCATATCGATACAATAAGTACTATGACCTTTCCGTGATAATATAATACAGAAGATCCGCAGCTCGTCCGAATGACCTTGTAACGGATTTTTGTAATTATATATACAATAATAATGCGAAACCATGAGAATAAATACGCGTGTTATTATGTCGTATTTTAGTCGTGTCTGGGCCGCTCCGCACGGTTTGTTCCTGGTGGGTATTTTTTTTTTTTTAAAATTGATAAAAAAAAAAAGTAATAATAATAATAGTAGACAAACAACGAAACTTGTCCCATGCCTTCTAGTTTAGCAAAAATATAGTAAATACTGCAAGAAAAAATTATTGTCATCGTATTGTATCCGACGAACAATATAATAATATAATATAAATAATAAACATTATTTTATTCACCGCTGTGAAATGATAATAATATTATGTTCGATTTCGAGCGCATCTGTGCATGGTCATCGTAAATCCATGCAGGACGTTGTATACCATTTAACATTGTTGTGTTTCTAAATATTTTTTTTTTTAGATTCTGAGCATGATTATCGAGTTTACTATAGTTTTTTCTTTTTTCTTCTTCTGTCTGCGTATAATTCGTCCATCAGAAATATTGCCATGATCATCAAGTGTAACAAATTTTTTAAAAGAAAATGCTGTTAGTTGATTTGCTCTCATTGAAGAGGTTTTATTTTCTATTTTTTTATATTGTATACAAAAATTTTACCAGAAATCTTACTCCGAAGTATTAAGCGTATAGAACTTTTTCTAAAAGGGAATTTTCCTGGGATGATACTTTAGGTAGGTCGTTTGTTAATTTTCCCAGGAGATTTCCTAATAAATGGGAAAAATTGGAAAAATGTACGAAATACAGGTATTAGAAAACAAATATAACGCCTTTTTTTCCTGTAAACATCTTTTCTACCGGCAATTTTGCTCCGATTTACAATGATAGCAATTTTTCCAAAAAGAAATCTGACCCAGGAGGTACTTTAGGAAGATCATTTTTTTAATTTCCCAATAAATTGGTAAAACCAGAAAAACACGCATGAAAAACGGGAAATGTACGAAATGTATTATTTTCAAACCGTAAATATTACGGTCTTTTAAAATACGTATAACTGAACTCTGCTCAAAATCGTTTTTCGATAGCAAAGATTAATTCTTACGTACAGATATACATCAAATTCTTCTCTGTAACTTCCCTTCCCAACTTCTCACCTACAACAGTTGCCCATTGTGTGAAGGATAATTACCATCTTATTTTCTTGTAATTTGGTTATAGACACTTGTAAAGACTTGAAGTTTTCATAGAAACGCTCGAAAATATAACACGAAGTTCATAACAAGTTGTTCTTGGCGGTAAAAAAAAAACCGAGCGTAATGAAGTAGGATTATCTTCAAGCGATTTAAATTTCAACGAAAATTGTAGACATTTCGATAGCATTTCATAACATGTTTAACCGAACTTCGCTTTTAATTACTATATTTTAATTGCTTTACTAAAAGGTATAGCAATAATTTATCGTTGAGTAAATAAAATAACTTTATATCGTATCCTATACCTTTCCTGTAACTTCCCGTCTACAATAGTGGCTGCAGTATTAGCTATTAAAAAAAAAAAGGTTTAGTTACATTATCGCTTTATAAACTATATAATAATAATTCTTGTTATGACCCACGCGTGAGCGAGGCTTTTTTTTTTTTAGTGTAATCTTTTACACAAGAAAAATATTATATGTGTGTATACACGTAAATATAGATAGTAATTGGGGGCCGATGCGTCCCACAGAGCACGCGTATTCATAATATTATTATTATCGATTGTTGTATTATTATTGTATCTATTATATCGTCGTTGTCCTCTGTATACTCGTTATTATTTTAATTTCTTTTTTTTTTTCATTTAGTCTTTACCGTCTTTTATCAAACAGGACACACGCGTTATTCTTATATTCTTGTATACGCATACTGACCGTGACCCAATGCAATCCAATATAAAATATTCTCTATAATGTATACAAACTCATATTATGGTATTTAATTTTTTTCAATTAATCGATTGTTTTGTTTATTTTAGATTTTGGATAGAAACTCTTAGCATTTAAGTCTTTATCAGCGCAGCGGTAGATCCAGGTGAGGGGATGTTAACGGGGTTATTAACCCTCCTTCAAAAAACACTTTCGTGGAGTAGCATGTTTTGTTTTAAAAATAATTTATAATTTATTCATGAATCATGACTATTAATAATTATATTTACTAAATTTACCCATTGAAAATTCTTGAACACGATATTCCTTGACACATGAGATTATAATAATTATTTTATATAATCTTGTAGGAAACTTGTAGGTATACCGTACACTCAGGAAGTATTGAATATAATATAAAATTATTATTTTCGAAGAGAGTTTAAATTTAAAATGTAAAAATATTATAGCTTTATTGTTCATTGTACCTACATACATTAGGTCATGGAACTATAATTATTAGGTCTGTTTTGCTTATTATAATTGTTAATACAATAAAAGAAACACTTAACAATTATTATTTACCTATAACAATAATAGGTAATAATACACGTAAGATACATTATATGATAAGAAGGATTAATTTGTTTGATATAAACACGAATTTTAAATTAAAATGTTTAGTTTAAGATGAGGTCATATTACCTATCAAGTTTTACGTTAGTATTTTAATACTAATATAATGCTTGTTTCGGCGAATGATCAAATTTAATCTGGTTACTGTATTTTCTAAACAAGTCGTTTTTGACGATTTTGGTTATAACATTTAATTATATAGTTGTTGATGTTTAGTTATTGACAAAATAATTTTACCACTAGATAGTACTTTTTTTTTCATAATTTTGTATAATTATGTTAAAATACTTCTTAGATTATCATTTTTATGTTGTCTTATATTTATTAAAAGTAATAAAGAAGACAATTTATATTTATTTTTCTACAACATTTTTATTAATACAATTGTTGTTTTTATATTTAATTATAAACCAGTTAATTTAAAGATCCATAATTAGAAAATTATAGAAACAGTTGTGAACAAATAGTTATAAAAATGTATTTTTCTATTTTCTTTTTAAATTCTCCCTTACCACTTCCAATATATTTCTATTATGTTCTTGATTTTTATTTAGTTTATGAATATTTTCATCCACCACCTCAAGATAATTAGCATTTAAAATACAAAAATTGTAAAGAACATAGCAATTTTTTGTCATGTATTTTGTGTTGTACAACAAACTTCTCAATCACTATTTATTAAACCAAATTAATTATTTTGATGGACCATTAAATTATAAAAGTTCTTTAAATTTCCGGTGTCCAATTATTTTAACTGCTGCAATACAATAAATAATGATATTTTCATTATACACAATTAATCAAAAATAATATGTAAACTTTTAACTTCTCTATGCTAATAAAAACAAATAAAATGCTTTAAATTTAAAATACAATACTTGATATAATGCTTTAAAATTTAAATGTATATTATGATCAATTAATATTATTTGTAAAAACCATAAACATATCATTTCGTGATTCAGTTAATCACATAACCATGTCCGATAATGAATATAACTCAATACATAATTTTTTTAATTTTTCTTTTAGTTCTTTTTTATAATTGGGCGAAAACGTCTGAAAAACAGTAATATTTACGCAATAACGGTTTCTGTTAATATTGGTTTTGATTTTTATGATGTAATTCAGTTAATAATAATCGATCGTAGAAACATGCAATGTACATCAAATATTTTTACCAGCACTTTTTTAAATACATGGTGCAATAGTGCAAAGTATATTATCCACTTAAAAAAAAAAATTATTATTTTTAGAAATCGTAAGGATGGGTAGAAACAATATTATACAAAATAATATTATGTTCTATTTTATTCACATTTAACAACTGTTACATTCATTATTATATTGTAAACGAGTTTCGTTACACGTTTACTATTTTAGTATTAGATTAGTTGGTTTGCCCTCTAACTACAATAATATTATTATGTTCTTTGTGTGATCGTATGAATGTATAGGCCGACATTGATGATCGTGTAAACTGTATTAAGATTGTTGTGACTTAGTGAGACTGGTTTTTATAACGATTTCAAAGAGTACTTTATTTATTGTATAGGCATTGATTTTTTCCATAAAATTATATATATATTTATAAATTATATAATCTACAATATAAAGAATGCAGAATTTCGAGTAAGCATAATATATGTTTGCAATTTTAGATTCTGAGCGAAGCGAAGAATGTATTGGTTTTCCAATGATATTTATTTATTTATTATTTTTTATCTTGCTCCGGTGTATCAAGTGTAGCAAGTTTTCTGAAAGGACGTTTTATCTAGGTAGTACTTTAGGAGGTCATTTTTTAATTTTTTAAGTAGTTTTCATTAAAGTTGGGAAACCCGGGAAGAAACGAACAAGAAAAACAGATTAATTTAAGAAAATAATTTATTTATTATTTTCAATTTTGTTTTTTTGTTGTAATTCAGATGAAATCTGACAGAGTTATCTATATCAAATATAAGTTATCTGGACAGATACAATTGACATTTTAAAATTTTGTTTAATTTTTATTTCGTTCTTTTGTAGAATAATATCACTTCGTTAAAAATCTAAAAAACTACCGTAATATTTTGTTAGTTTAAATATTTAAATTAATATACAGTATTGCACATTATACCTTTTAGAAAATACTATTGACTCGGTAATTAACTGTGTTAGGATAAAATAGGTCAATATTTAAAAATACCATTACATTTATAATTTAAAGATTTAATATTTGTTCAATCTTGTCAGTATAATATTACGTCACTAAAATTTTGTTTCGTACGAGATATTTCAACTCAGTACACATACATAGAATACAAGAAATAAGACAATAGTATTACTGTAGAATTTCACTGACTATATTATCACCTCTCACTGGTAATTAATTGCCATACGTGAATTTGACAATAGAAATCCGAAAGTTTTTCTATCGTAGTGCCAATATTTTGGCACCTTACCAATAGCTATTAAGAGAAGAAATTCAAAAAATCGACATTTTTTTCTTTTCAGTCATTCCAAGTCAATAACAATTTAAAAAGCTTTAGTGATACGTTTAGAAAATAAAATAAAATTGTCTATTTAAACAATTTATATTGGTTTGTCACTGAAATTGACGGCAATAAATACTACTTAATATACACATATGCACATTTTCATTCTGAAAACTCAAAATAATGTTTTGTCTTTTTAAATCAAAGATTTTCTTTTTATGTATAAAATGTTTTTTTTTTTTTTACGTATTTTGTAAGTAATAATATGTTAGTAGTGATTATTAATATCTTTTGGACAGATAGTAACAATAGTAATATATTTGTATTATGCATTAAAGATATTTAATTATTTCAATACCTGCGATTTAATAATTTAAAAAAAAAAAATACAATTTTTTACAGTGGGTGTACGGAATCCCAGTGGAGGTATGTTATGTTACCATCTTCCCCATTGACACATATACTTCACATTATAGGCCAACAGTAGTGTACCCTTGTAGATATGGGTAGTTGGGAAGGTATAGGATATTTATAATAACGTACTATATTTGTAGGTAAAGTAATATTACCATTGATATTACTAATTTAGTTTAAATACTATAAGTGCAATGATAGATGATTGCGTATCATAACGATTCTGAAAGGAATTATAACCAAACAGGGAACGCAATAATCAGCGAAAAATTAAATAGGTACAAAAATTTAGAAGTGGGAAATGGAAATTTAAAAAAGGTGATCTCGTTATTCAAATCTCAGCGTAGTTATGTTATGGAATTTGTGAAAAACCTGTGTACTCGTATGTATACTTTGTTAACAACTAGCTGTGATCATTTTTCGTTACCTGTTGAAAAATAAATCAAAGATACCACGGGGTGGGAAATCTTTGGGTGGTATGGTGTATACATTTCGCATGCACGGTTATAATAAATAGAAAATGCAATTTCGCTCGAAATTAAAATTATAATAAATGTGTCTATTGTGCTTTTGTTCATTGACATTTTAATAATTACCTATGTGTCTAGTTTTTTTTTTTGTAAAGAAGATTTCGTTAAAATTGATTTTGTTTTATTATAACTGCGTATACCGCGTCTATACAAACTACTTCGTTATAGGACTTCGTAATAATATTACTAGTTTCATTTTTCTTATATTTTCTTATATTTTAAAACGGAAAAGGTCCGTTAGTAGGATCTTTTTCGTGGGTGACGCAGAATATATTAGTCTATTATCGTCGGATCTGTATCATTATACCTACATCTGTTTTCGTTGGAAATCAAGATATGAGTGCATTACTTAAATAAATTATGTCTTATCTCTATGGACGAGTAGAGCTTGTACGACCTTTTTCGTGGGTGATGCAGAAAAAATATTCTCGATCAAACGGTGGTTATTATATTATATTATATTATATTAATTCGATATGGACAAAAATCGAGATACGACCTTTTTCATTGTAGTAGACAATGTGGTAGTGACTGAAGACGCGTACGTGATCGGCGTGAAAGATCGGCGCCGCTACTAGAGACTAGACGTCTCTATAGTTTTTTGATTTACCATTGATTATGAATCAAATTGTTTTGCGTTTTTTTATTCATTTTTTTTTTTTTATTGTCGCGAAAATCACATTTAGTATTCGCGGACCGTGCGACAGTCCACCAGGTACGTCCGATATTGGTTGGCTGGTGCGTAGGTAATGTACGGGCGAAGGTATAGAAAAACCTTCGAATTTACGGGAAGGCGTCGGCGGCGTTTATATTAATATCATTATCATTATTATCATCATCGTCGTCGTTGTTGTTGTTGTGTAATACTTAATATTATGCGATTATTTGGCGCCGGAATTCGAATAAAAATACCCGTCTATATAGCGACGGACACGTCGGAAATAGCAATTTATATTATTATTCGTCTCGATGACTACACAATATAGCGACGTATATACGAATAATAAATACACCCGGTAGGTAAACAAAGCGATTTTTCCCCGTACGACACATGCGTTCGGGGTGGTAAAATTGGAAGGGAGGTGGTGAGGAGATATATGCCCTCGTGAACTTTTCCCTTCAATATTTATAAAAATACGTATTACACTTATTTACCTATATATTTTTATATAAACAAAACAAATGTAAGCTAATAGGTAGTAATAATTGTTAAATAAACATTTTAATAAATCAGCCTTATCTTCTTCAACTATAACAAAATCATTTGATAGCCACACACACCGGCGTTATCTCCACAAGAATATTGCATTTTTTTTTTTGATTCTGATCGCAGAGAGAAATACGAAATACAATCATATATTAGCTTTACTCGTTAACAATATGACGTGTATTTTATTTATATTAGTATCAAATTTTTCCCGAAAATAGGGACTATTTCATTGTATTGTATTTGTAATATATCTACAGCGCGAGTGATCAGAATTTTGTGTTACATCAATTTTCTCCAATAAACATACAAAATAGAGAAAATGTATAATACAAATGTTTTTCAATTTATAAACATCTAAAATAATTTGTAAATTTTTTTTCACTATCTTTTTGGAGGGTTTTAGAAGTCAACTTTTGAAATTCAAATGGGAACCTATATTCAAAAATCCATTTCAATAGATGCAGTAGGTATTAGTTTAAATACATTTTGGCGTTGAAATGTATTTAAACTAATACTGCATCTATTTATGGAATTTTGGAATTTCCCATTTGAATTTCAAGAGTTGACAAATTATAATAGATTTAGGAGAAATGTTGTAAATACATTTTTTGTAGAACAAATTTAATTAAAGTTCAATAGATTTTTGTAATAAGTCTTATATTTTTCAAATATAATACAAATAGTACATTTACTACGGGTAGTTTAGTGGTTTTTTCACATTTTCTTATAACAAAAATGTATTAACCTTTAATTAAATGTGTTCTATTGGGCCTATATTCAACTCTCTTGGTGCATAGGAAGGGGATGAGTAATTATGACCAAATTTCTACAAAGTAACTTTAATGAGATAATAAAAAAATGGGAGAGTCCAGTAATAAAAACAATAATATATGTTTCATTACCTACAACTAAGGATCACCCTAATGTAAATGTATATTAATGTATACATTACATCTTTTTCCCGGTATATTCGGATACTTTTAGCAGCTTTTTCCGGATCATAAAAACTCAAATTTTGTACTTAGTTTTTTTTTTTTTATAGACGGGTTGAAGTGATAAAATATTGGTTTTATTTCAATATGAACATCACCATGTTGTTGCGGAAAGAGGGTAATTTTAGATTCGAGTGATGTAAAAAAGCTTATGGTTTACAAAGATTTTTATTTTTTATTATTTTTTTTTCTTTGAACAACTTTTCTATCAGAGATCTTCCTTTGATGTTTAAGTGTAGCACCTTTTATGAAAGGAAATCGGTGTGGGGAAGTACTTTAAGAAGGCTATTTTTCGATTTTCTCAGGAGTTTTCTCATTAAATATGAAAAACGGAAAAAAAAAGAAGGAAAAACGGAAAAATGTAAGAAATGTAGGTATTATATTAAAGCCTTCTTTTTTTCCTGTGAACAACTTTTCTACTAGCAATTTTGCTCTGATTTCCAATGATAGCACTTTTTCTGAAAGGAAACCTGACTGGGAATTTACTTAAAGAAGACCATTTTTCGATTTTGTTAAGAGTTTTTCTAGAAAATGTGAAAAACCAGGAAAAGAATGGGAAAACCGGGAAAAACGTAGGAAAAACGAAAAAATCGGTACCTACATTAAACAAATATTATGAAAGAAAATATATAATGCCTATTTAATTATTTTACCATAATATGACATAGGTGTAATCGTATATTGTTTATTATATGTTTGTCTGCTAATTTTAATTTTGATAATAATACTTAAAAATATATTATTTGCTGTCTTAATGAATAAATAAACTACATACGCCTTAAAGTAACAAAAATCTGAAAACGTATGATATATAAATTGACACCATGTGTCTCGCAGTGATATTTTTAGTTTTATACTCGGTTATTATTTGCTGTCCAAAAACTGTCGCTTTCTGTAGGTCTACGAGCACGTTTTTACTGCTTCGCCCAAAAAACCTTGATACGACATCCTGCTAATATTTATTATAAATTATAATAAACATATTGCCTTACATTCCAAGAAACAATGACGATACAATATTTGTCGTCATTGTTTTATTAATTATTATTATTATTATTATTCACTCCGAACAAACTATATTATGCACTATTTCGATATGTCTATATCTATATCATCGGGTTTTAAATTTTTTTTCCGTATTAGCATTAAATTGAATGTTCGTAGTTTATCGCGTATCGTTATTACTTATTATAGAAATGTCTTATTTGTTTTTACGATGCACGTGTTAAAACTTAAGCTAAATAATAAATATATTGTAACTATACCTCGATCTGCATATGAAATATAACTTTTCGGATCGGTATGTAATTAAACCAAAAAAAATTGTATTTTGAATTAAGGCGTCTTGACAAAAATATAGTCTATTCGAATTCGTCATTAAATGTTCACATGATATAATTTAGAGGTCTCGATTTAAAACGTAAATCAATACGTTCGTGGAGTCCGTTTATACGCCGTGAATGAAAAATTTTGTATTCACGTATAATTAATAATACACATAGTAAATATATTTATAAATAAAACATTTTTATATACAGAGTGATTTTTTTTATCATGAACCAACAATTATCTCGAAGAATTTTAAGTGAATTTGAATTCTGTTTTTTCTAATCGTTATGGAATTGTTTAAGCTTTATTTTAAAGTCATTTTTAATTTATTACCCCTACTCCATGTAATTTAAATAAGTAAATACTTTTAATTTCAAATAAGAACCTCCCCTTTTGAACACAGAATCTAATAGAAAATATTTTTCTAGAAATTTTAATATGTATAACACTAATATCAGATTTACCGTTTATGAATAATCGTTTAGAGTTCAGACCGGAGGAGTAGGGAAGGGCTACAGAGAGGCAATTTATTACTCTTTTATTATTTACTTATTTATTTTCTATTTAAATCTGTGTTCAAAAGGGGGTTCTTATTTGAAAATCAAAAGTATTTACTTATTTAAGATAGAATGTTTTTTTTTACTTAATTTTTACTTTATCATTTTATTATTTAATAATACAGGTTAATTTAATATCCGTGTTGATAGTTGTTTTAGTGTAGTTCACGTATTCACATATTCGTTATGTAGTTCCTAAGTACTATAGTGCGAATATAAATAGAAGATGACTGGCCTTTATACGTACTGCTAATGTCGAATCGATAACTTATACGATTTATAAAATTCACGGTTGTATAGATACGAATGTTAATTTCAATAGAAAACGTGAAAGCATGACGTACACGTGAAATAATAATAATATAGTTCTAATATAATTTCGCATAAAACTTATTTTTTAAGACAGCGCCATTAGGCCATTTTTTAATGAATATTCCCTGCGTTTCTATCGTCCCTTAAAATATCTTCTCCGACTACATAGATCAAACTTCTCTGCAGCATTTACTATTTATTTTCTAGTGGTAAGCAAAGTAATAAAAATCGTATTCTACTGGATGTAACTGCGTACAAATAAAACAAAAAATTGAAAACATAATACATTTCGTAAATTTTTCAGTTTTTCCCATTTATTATGAAAATAGGTTGGAAATTCAAAAAACAACTTCTTTAAAGTAACTCTTCAGTCAGATTTACTTTCAAAAAAGTTCTATACTTCAAAATCGGAGTAAAATTGCTGGTAGAAAAGTTGTTCACAGAAAAATAAAATAAATATAATTTTAAACCCAATACATTCCTCGCTCTGCTCAGAATCTAAAATCATAACGATATTGTAAACGGTTTGCGCTAATATAATATAAGTTATTCGAGAGTTGTTTGTATAATACGATTTTGATTTGTTTTCTGTGATATAGTCTGTAGAAGTAGTAAATATTATTTTGTTATAGCAATTCAAGCAAATTTCATCTTTTAAATTATTCAGCTATTGTGTATACATAAAATAATGTATAATGTATTGTATAGTGTTTTGATAATTTGTCTGTCTACCGGATATAAGCGCATAACTAATATATAAATATTATAACGTGCGAGGTACACGTGTGCCAATATATTATTAATTCGACAGCATTCTAATCACATATTGTAATTAAAACCCGTTGGCCTGTCGGTTGTCAAACCCAATAAATTGTTATTGACCGTATTTGCTTGCCATCTAATCCACCTCACTTATTTAAAGATGCTTAAGTTTAAATAGCTGTCCTAGGATAATGGTGACGATAAACCATTGCTAACGATTCTGAGTGGAGTGTTCAGTTATTAGTGTTGCTTTGTCAACAATATATTATAATATGCCACATTAGGGTAAAATAATTACATAAGCATTATATTATTTCTTTAATTTGTTTAATATTGTACCTATTGTCTCGTTTTTCCTACGTTTTTCCCATTCATTGGGAAAACTCCTAGGAATAAAAAACTCCAAAAAATTATCTCCTCAAAATACCTCCCCAGTCAGATTTCCTTTTAAAAATGTGCTGTCATTATAAATTGGAGCAAAATTTCTGGTAGAAAAGTTGTCCATAAAAGAAAAAAAAACATCTTTGTAAAACCATAAGCTTCTACACTCCATTTAGAATTTAAAAGTTGACTGAAGCTGAGTTCTCGCCTAAGACCAAAGACATAAAAGACTCAACACAGTGAAATAATCTCTATTTTTAGGGAAAATTTGACAAAAATGTTTACAAGTAGTTAATCATATTTATAAACCTATTATAATTTATAACCAACAAATAACCAGCCAGGTACCTATCTAGTACTAGTATCTACGAATAAAAACAAAAATCAAATTATGAAATAATTGTATGCCATGTTGGCAGAATACTAATGCAGTATAAAAATATTCAGTGAAGAAAAAAACATGAATTTTTCAACGAAACATTATTATTATCATTATAGCGCGGACAGTTGTCGAAAATTATGAGTACTCAGCTTTTTAGATTCGTTCGAACGAAGTCATACAAAATATACGAATAGCCAGTAGGTGTATGCATTGTAGTGCTTACACCTATACCTATCACCTCAAGGACCTCAAAGTAAACCCAAGGATTTATAACGCACACAGTCGAATAATATTCTTCACTCGACTAAATATAAATTGATAAAATGTTCAATTACGACAAAACGAATCGATATTCATAAACAGTCAATACACACATTTCATTGAATTAACCATATTATATTACAATATCGTTAAAAACGATGCGCCGACGAACGATTAAATTGGAAGAAAATGGTAATAACGACACGTTTGCGGGCGACCGAACATCACATTCGCACGATACATTCTAATTAAGAATATAATGTTTAGTTATATGTATACTGCGAATTGACTTGACGTTGATTCGACGGCTATATAGGTAGTGTAACATAATAATATTATGTGTATCACGACTCGCAAATCATAATATAGGTATCTTATATTTACAGTATATATATATGGGTAGGTACCATTACGTTTTCAGAGCATTGTACGTTTGTTGAATATTTTTATTTGATTGTATAATATAATATAACTAGGTATAGGTAGGTAAGTATATATCGGTACATGCCAATATGTTTGCCATTATAGGTATCATTCTTTTTTTTTATTATTAAATCAATTTTCACGAAATTTATTGAATTTATATTAATATAATATACTCGTACGTATTTTTTTTTTTATTTTAATAGATACCCATGTTCATTAATAATGAGAGGTCACACGATTGTATTGTGCAACATTGGCAAATTATTATTATTTGTTTTATGTCTTCGTAAATGTAAAATCTAGTTTATGATAATTGATTGAGTTGCCTATACGGTATGAGTGGTAACCTAATCTAATAGCCGATACAGTGAAATTAAAGAAAACAAAACTTGCAATATTAATAGTAATTAATCGTCAATTGTAAAAATTGCAATATTCGAATGAAATAATATTATTTTATAATGCTTATTTCTACAGCAGTTAGGTATTTAGGATTTTGCCGAGGAAGAAAATATTGATTTTAGAAATGGTGCCATTTTGTACAACGTATAGGCTAAAAAAACCGACCAATTTTTTATTTATATATTTTTGTTTATTGATAAATAAATCAGCAAATCTGCCTTGAAATTATCATTGAAATCAAGTAACTATAGGTACCTAATAGAAACTATATAGAACCTATTATAGTTAACTTACTATTTAGATTCCTTATCTACCGTGTTTAAAATATCATATAGTGGCTCGGATAGATTTTGTTTTAAACAAGAAAATCATAGACGTATCTAGGGGGGTTTGAGAGGATTATCCCCCTATTTAAAATATTAACCACTCTAGAGTGACTCTAGAGCTTAGACCATTTTAATTTTAAAAATATTTTTTATTTATATTTGACTCGATGTTTAAAAATGTATTGTTATCTATGTCGTTCAGCTAATTAAATTGAAGGCGAAGACCACAAAATAATTTTTGAAACTCATATTTATTATTATCGTCATTTTACGTTTCACATGTGAATTACACTTCACTTGTTGAACATGAACGCACAGAAAATGTAAAATTTAGTGCTAATATTATTTTAGATTTAGGTGATTTAGATTCTGACCCAGCAACACCAATATTAGAAGTAAGCATTATATTTGTATAACTTACCTACATAAGTACAATTTAATTTTACCTTTTGCTTTTGCTTATTCATCACATTCTGACTCAATGTATATCTTATATTTGGAGAGAATTCCAAATTAAAATTAAAAGTTTATTGTAGTAGTTCTTATCACTTTACTTATATGACCAAATGGTTAGGCTATAAAAAATCAAAATTCACAGGATTTGTTCATACTTTATTATCAAATGTTAATCGTGAAAATATAGGTAATTATAAGAACTAAAATTATATTAAATGCCTAATAAATGTAATTTTTTTATAGGGATTTTAGTATTTTTGAATTTAATTCAGAGTCCTATGCCATAGAACAATGTTGGCATCATTTTATTCTTGTTTTAAAATAATATTTCAATAATCAAGTCATGTCTTAAACAATTGTAATTTTTTTTTTTATTAGGTAATTTTAAGAAAACTTGCAAGTTATTTTTCATACATAATTCTGATTTTCAAAATCAATACTAAACATACTAAACAACTAAAAATACTCTTATTGATATTTGTTCAAATTATGTTCGTGACTATATCAACAACAAAGTAAAAAGTGCACAATGTTACTCTATTATATGTGATGAAGCTAGGTATATCTCCTGAAATTGTATACGTTTTAAATAAATATTACATTACATAATAATATATTTTAGATGACATAAACAAGAGAAAATATCGTTTGTGTTCCATATACTAACAATTTTGAAGTAGGTTAAGTTAAAAAATAAATGTTTTATTTTGATTTAGATTATGGTGTTGATTAGATTTATTGTTAAGTAAATTTTTATGTTCTCCCAGCCAGATTCACGTATTATTCAGGGTTATATATAGTCGTCATGTTTAAATATATTAATAAGGCTATAAATCCCTTGTATTAAATTAACAATAGTTTTTGAGCTTATTCTATGATTTATCCATTTAAAGAGGTAATTTCACTTATTTGTAATGCACATTCTTTCATTGTCACTTTTTAGAGCATATTTATAATACATTAAAAATTTGTATGGGGTTTCAGCCCCCCCCCCATTATATTTAATCACCCTACGCCCTATTGTACCTATTTTCCCGTTCTCCGATTTTTTCTCCGTTTTTTCCATCTTTTCCAGTATATTGAGAAAACTCCATAGAAAATCAAAGTACCTCTTTAAAGTACCTTAAGACCAGTAAGAAATTTCCTTTTAGAAACATTGCTATTATTAAAAGTTGGAGCAAAATTGCTGGTACAAAAGTTGCGCACAGATAAAAAAAAATAAACATCTTTGTAAAATCATTAACTACTTCGCTCCACTCAGAATCTAAAATTAAATTTATTCCTCATAATTATTCACTCAACCGTTTGCCGTCAAAATTTGATATTAAAATTCTTTTATATAAAAAAAAAATACTACATTAAACTCAAATTGTTTTTACCACAATGTAAGACTCTAAATGAACCTCCAGTTAAATGTTCACATATTTCTGTTAAGTCAAACAATTTTACCACATAGTACCTACCGATTACAAATTATGTATAAAACTTTCAAAATGTCAATAAATAACTCAAAAATGGCTTATATTTGATGTAAATATTTAAATTTGCGAAGAAACCCACTACTTATAAACAGTGAAAGTGGTTATTTTTTGTGGGGGACCGCTCGCCCCTCATAAATTCAATTTCCCAAGGGACTCTAGACTTCCAGAGGCCTCCTAAATCCGGCTCCGGTCTCCTTCGTAAAAAGAAAACTCGACGCTCGACCACACCCGGACGAACGGTATATTATATAGATCAACGGTAACGGGGAACGGGTTTCCCAATGATATATTATTGTGTTTGTCTCGGCGAGAAAAAAAACGCCAACATAATTATTTGAAAATCAACCGGCGCGCGTCGTCGTCGTGTACAATATAATCGTGTTTGGTAATTACGACGTGACGCTCGGTGGCGGACCGCGCCGCGGCACGAACCCGCGGTGGCGAATGCGAAAATAATGATAATGATAATAATGACGATAATCGCGCGGACATTATGCGACGGCCGCGATCGCGTCGTCGGACACCACGGCGAATATTGCGATCACGTACCGGCGCGCGCGGACGTCGAAACGATTCGCTATTTGTTTTGCGCGCAAAGCGGCCAATCAATGAGGTAGTGGGTTCATAATAAAATTATTATTGTTGCGGGCGATGGCTGCACAGGCCGCACCGTAATGAAATGGTGGCATTAACGTTCGCGCCGCCGCTCGTACGCTCGTCACCGGTCCGGCATTTTTAGTTTTTCTCGGCCTCACCGTGCACCACCCGGGGAACCCGTCGCGTATAATATTTATAATAATAACGTCATACACTCGCCCCGCAGTCGGGTACACCGGTCTGTCGCTGTCGCCGCGTCGTTCGATCCCGTCGATACAGCCGCAGCGTACCGCGCGCGCGCGCGCGCCACAAAGTTTAAAAACACAATAAAACTGTGCGATCCGCCGCCGCAGGGAGACATGACAACGTCGCGAGGCGCCAAAGGTGTCGCGGGTTCGGGTGAAAATAATCGAGCGGATGCGGTCGCCGTGGCAACGGTGGATGCGGTCGCCGCGACATCGGTACCCGCGGCCACGACCGCCGTCGCCGCCTTCTCCAGGCCGTCGTCGGCGGTGGTCGTGAGGAGCGCATACAAGCAGTACGGCCAGACGGCCATACTGAAAGACTTAAACCTAACGATTCCGGACGGTAAAATGTGAGTGAACGCTCGAACCCTTGGCCGGGTAGTGGGGGACGGGGAGCAAGGCGAAGGGACCGGCCGCGATGTTTCGTCCCTTCAAGACTCTAAGCGGAGTGATACGAACGTATTGATTATGATACATGCGTTTATTAAATTGCATTTTATTTTTTTGTCTGTAGACAACTGTGTTAACTAAAAATCTTGCTCCAATCAAAAAAAAGTCAGAAAATCTATTTCATTGCATTCGGATTCTATTAGACACGTATTGAAAAGGTTGTTTTTCTGGTTTTTCAAACGGATTTCTTAATAATCGGGCAGAACTGGAAAAAAACTTAGTCACTTTGGAAAAACGAGAAAGTCTAAGGAAATAACGGTTCCGTTATTTTCAATTTTGTTTTTTTTTTTTGGTGTAATTCGGTTAAATATATTCGTAAAGAGCTGACATTTTCACATGTATTTTTATTGGACTTTTCTAGACGTGATAAAATTTTGAAAACATTCTGATGATTTTTTAATTAAAAAAACATATCTTATTATAGATATGTTTTTATACATGGACTGTATATTTTGTCGTTAATAATATTATTGGTTCCATAATTTTTCATGTAAATCTCAGATAAAAGAACATTTAAATGACCACCCATATATTTATTTACAAGTATAAATCATTTTAATAATTTTGTTTTCACTTTATTATTTTATTAAATTTCAATACTTAATGTGTATTATATATAATACGGACGAATCGTACAACTTTCTTTTATATAATCCGGAAACAAGAACGTCAACAGTCTTATATTTAGGGGTTCTATATAGGGGCAAGTTATTATAATATTTTAAATCTAATAGCCACTGCAAAAAGAAGAAAATTTGCGCTGTATATTGTTGTTTTTATTCGTTCGACAGAACTATACCACACAAAAACTTACCCAATTTAGTTTAAAAAACATAATACTACCAATTAGATTTTAATACAATGATAATTTATTTTTGATGTTATAGTATCGACGGAATAAAAAGTTATGTTTCACAGTACAATTCCCGCTTTTGTTTGGAGAATATTTAGTTATTTATTAATAATTATTGTCCTAGTGATTCATGCCCACACGAAATGGTTTTCATACTTTCCACACATGATTTTTTGGACTGTCAATATTTTTATTAAATCTAATGGTAAAATTGTGTGTCTGTCCTTTTTCGCCAAAAATATACACAGATTGATCCACTAAGTGTGCTCAGTCCATTTTTTTTTTTTTTTTTTTTATCAACAAATTACATATCACTAAAATAATCAACTATTAAAAATTCTATAAATAGATGGAGTATTACTTTAAATAAATTTTGGTGTTAAAATTTTAGATTTCTGTGAACCCGTTGACGAGGTATTTAATGCTTTAATTTAGGTAGGGGGAGAGTAATGGAGCACTATAAAACGCCGCGTGCCGTGTCTCCGCACAAATGATACTCCACTACTCTTTCCTAATTGTATAAGGTACCTATGGTGCAAAAGTTTTTGGTGAATTTTTAGCATTTTTGTTTTTTTTTTTATCAACAAATTACATATCACTAAAATAATCAACTTTCTCACTTCACTCGAATCGTAAAAAATATCTGCATGCATAGAACAGCATAAAATATTATTTACTTCAAAGGCGTAACCAGAGATTGGAGATCAGATCACATAGATAATAATAATTTTCCTAATAATTTTCCCAGCAAATGTGAAAAACCTGAAAAATATTAAACAAATAGTATTAAAGAAAATATATAATGCCTATTTAATTATTTTACCATAATATGACATACATATTGTTGACAAAGCATCACTATCAACTGATCTCCGCTTAGAATCGTTTTTAATAAGCAATGGTTATCGTTGCTTACAGATACAAATTAGTTTCCTCTCTATATACTACCTTTCCAACTTTTCACCAACAGTGGCTGCATCTGTCCCTATTATCCTAGAACCGTTTTTTATATACGTGTTTCCATCTGCGTATTTGTACAACGTAAAAAGGTAAAAAGGTCTGTGTAAGAGATTATATATTTTTTTAGGGGACAGATAAAAAGTTATATCCTACACAGACATTTTTCTATTCTTTGGAAGCCCGTTTTATGTGCGTACCCGTATTGACATCATGTATCTTGGATGGTGTATGTTGACGCAATATAATAATATTATTTCGTTATAAGTCGACCATACTGGTTATTATACTCGTAGTTTTCGAAGTCTAATGACTTATGATTATTTGTACATATATTCTGTATGGTTACTACTAGAACAGACTACAGAATGCTACTAACATGCATACCATCTCTATACCGAAATATCAATAAGTTTTGAATGCATGTATTACCATACATGACAGTAAAAACTTAACAGTAAACTTGACAGTGACAGTATTTTAACGCTTTAATTTTTTTTTTTTTTTAATGAAAATTTGGATCTATACATGTTATTGACTACGAAGACAATTTTATTCGATTACATCGAAAATTCGAAAAAAACTCCTGAAAAAACGCACGTAAATTCGTGAAAATTCCATAGCTGAAACGAGCGTCATTAGTTTTACCCATACTGATATACCTATGTATATTATACTATTATAATGATATTTTTAATTTACACAAACTTAATATTGTCGTTAACAGTTATCAATCTTTGCCGATCAATAACAATATATTATTATTAGAAGCTATAACAATATTGTATGCTAAATGATAATATAAAACAATAAATAGGTAGTCAATATCATTGGAGTTTTAACCGTTTATGAATGAAAATATTTACACCGAGTTAATATTTTTTTTAAATATTAAAGACATTTCAGAAAAGTTCCAGGACCCCTGAACACCCTCCCCTTCCCCAGATATAGCCTTGTGGTTCGAAGTATGTCAGCTTTTTATAAATTAACATTGTACCAAAAATAATATTATTATAGATAGGTGTACTTATGATATTGTATTTGTAAGCAATTATTTGTTTTCAGATATGGGCTATTGGGACCTAGCGGCTGTGGAAAAACAACACTTTTGAGTTGCATTGTAGGCCGATTGCGTTTAGATTCCGGAGAAATAAAACTAAAAGGCAAACACATTTCTGATATAGGTTATATGCCGCAGGTAATGATAATACCGTTATTATAACGTTCATGTCTATGTGCTATTTCATATATTATTTTTTTTTCTACGCGTGTTTTTTGATATAGGAATTAGCGTTGCACAACGAGTTATCTATAAAAGAAACATTCACATATTACGGTTATATATTTAACCTTTCGGATGATGTTATAGAAAAAAGAGGCCGAGAATTGAAGGAGCTCTTGAAATTACCATCGTACAGTTTAAGTTTGAACGAAATAAGGTAAATCGAAAAACTTTGTTTGCGACGATGTATTATTTATTATTTTATATTGGAAGTATTACAATGTGTTTTTAAAACTGTTTGTAAAATTATATTGTCTATAAATAGTGGTGGTCAACAGAGAAGAGTATCCTTGGCAGTAGCGATGCTTCATGATCCAAAGCTATTAATTTTAGACGAACCAACAGTCGGCTTGGATCCTTTGATAAGCCAAAGGTAATAAAATAGATCCATTTGATGTTTATCGTTGGCTAGTTTATCAATAATTACATCTTGCTCCGATGTATGCGACGCAGACCTTTTTCTAAAAGGCAATTTTCTTGGGATAGTACTTTAGGGAGGTCATTTTTTGATTTCCCCGACAGTTTTTTCAATAAAAGAGAAAAAGTGGAAAAAAATGTTAGAAAAACTACGAGAAAAGTACGAAAATAATGCTTTTATTATTTGTTCAATTTGTTTATTTGTTGTAATTCAGTTAAAAATATTCGTATAGATTTTACGGACATAAAATTTGGAATCTTATATTTTCTTTGTCTAGACGTGGTAAAGTGGTAAAATTTTCAAAAAATTTAAGCCATTTTTGAGCTATTTATAAACTATTAAATTTTGAGAATTTTATACGTAATTTTTATTCGGTAGGTACTTGGGTAAAATTGTAAAACCAAACAGAAATGCGTGAAAATTTAACAGAAGGTTCATTAAAAGTGTTATTTTGTGGTCAAAGAAATTTGAGTTTAATGTAGTATTTTGCTTATAAATAAATCTTAATATCAAATTTTGATGAAAATCGTTTGAGTAAAAAATTATGCGGAACAAGTCTAAATGTCCAATTTTTTTTTTTTTGTATATATTGTATTCAGTTTTGTTAGGTATACTGCCGTTTTAAGAATAATGGTTAAGTCAGAATTTAGCAGACTGACCAAGTTTCGAAATAAGAGCTTTTTGAAGTTCTGATATTATGCGGATATTTTATGTTTTATAAAATAATTCTATATTGTCTACTCTTTAATATGTTTGTCACAGCCGAATGATTAAACATACCTTTTGTCATCCTAAGAGTCGCGAATTCAAACCCGTGTTGTGAAAAAATTGTTTACACTTATTTTTAAAAAACAAATGCATTTTAGGTGTAGGTTAGGTTAGCAAATCGCTCCGGCAGGCTATTTTAATTGAAAAATACCATAAGATTTGTTATGCAAACTTTTCAACCAGAAATCTTGCTACGATGTATCAAGTGTAGATTATTTTCTGAAAGGAAATCTTATCTACATGGTAATATGGGGAGGTCAATTTCTTGATTTTTCAAGCGCTTTTCATTATAACTGGGAAAAACCGGGATAAAATGTTGGAAAAACAGAAAATGTAGGTATTAGTAAAAAAATATTATGGTCTTTTTTTTCTATATACAACTTTTCTACCAGCAATTTGGCTCCGATTTAAAATGATAGCACTTTTTCTGAAAGGAAATCTGACTGGGAAAGTACATTAGGGAAGTCATTTTTCGATTTTTCCAGGAATTTTCCCAATAAATGGGAAAAATTGTGAAAAACGGAGAAAAATGTATCAAATATATTAAATATAGTAAATAAATACATAAATAAAAAAAATGTATATATTCATATAAAAATTAATAAATGTGTCACCTGGTATCATATTGATAATTGTTTTATACAAAATATATTGATAAAATATTACAATTTTGTTTTCTGTGGACATTTCTACCAGCAATTTTCCTTCGTTTTTTCGTTAGCAATGGTTTATCGTTGCTTACAGGTATACATTAAATTATCTATAACAGCAGTGGCTGCAGCCATCTCCATTATCCTAGGACGTCTTCTTTTTTTTAATTATTTAATTGTCTAGTTTTTGTAATGCCAAAACGATTCCTGTAATGTATATATTGGCTAGTTGCGTATGTGTATGTTAATTTGCTTATACCTATGCTATTTTTACGGTGTTTATTCATTTTAATTGGGTTTTACCCAACTGCAACGAGAGTCTTTATTGTTAGCGCACATAAACTAACACTAATAATTAACAATATTTTTCTAGTATTTGGGAGTTGCTATTAGATTTAACGGCTAATGAAGGAAAAACAGTGATAATCACCACGCATTACATCGAAGAGGCAAAACAGTCACAAATGGTAAAATAATAATTTCAGCACAAACATTCGAATAATATAATATTTTACAACAAATTACCTACTTATTTGAAAACATACATAGATCGGCTTGATGAGAAAAGGTACACTTCTTTCGGAAGCATCGCCTACAGAACTACTGACTTCATGTAATTGTTCATATCTGGAAGAAGCGTTTTTAAAGATTTGTCAAAACCATGTGGCCAAGACCAACAGTTTCAAAATACCAGTAAAACAAGTACGCTTTGCAAAATATTTTAATTTATCCATAAGGATTTACTCATGTGAAATAATTTAGATACCTACCTATATTAATATAGGTAAGTATTGATCAAATTCTTTAAAATTATTATTTTTTATTTACACTATTTACAAAAATATTTAATATTTATCTGTCCCACCTGGTGTATTGCCCATGACAGTCCACAACTTCGACCGTAACCAGTTTACATTTAGTTTTAGACCTTCCCAGGAACCGACCGTTCAAGTTCAATTGATTGGTGCACGTTGGAAAGATTTCCTTTAAGCTTACCGGGAATATCCAATTTAAGTCCTAAAATCACCTTATTTCCTCCCCCTTCTCCCCATTCGAAGTGCCACTGTAATATCTTTGTCAAAATTGTACATTGTTTATTTGTATGACTTTTAATTTATTATATATAATAGGCATAGAATTCCTTTTAACTTTCACACCCGTTTTCAATCTTTACGGCCTGTTACACATTTTTAAAATTGAGATGCAGGGGGTTTATTGGTTTCAACACTATTTATGTGTATGCATTGATACTCGTATAAAATCGTTACTCGGATGTTAAGTTACAATAATAGTTAGTGTTATAGATTTCGGGTTAGGTTTTTTATCGGTCAAAGGGAATTGGAGGGTTGTTTTAGGATAGAGATTGGTAGTTCTCATTGAGCTATATCCAATGAATTAATAACGATGATTCTTAATTAAAACCCCTAGAAGATACAATTTTTTTTTTTTAAATTATTCATAGTTTCTATTAGGCGTTTACAAATTTTTAGGCGTCTAACTTTTTTTTCTACTGGTTGAATCGAAAATTTTTAATAGCCTACCTATCTCTGACAACATGAATCGTTTCACAAAAAACCATATAAAAATTGATCCAGCAGTCTTTGAGTCTAGAGATATACCAACATCTATTCACATATATATATATAAAATAGACTAATATCCTAAAGAAATGTACCTATACATTACATACATTAACTATTAAATCTTAAATTTAAGATGGCTGCATCTAAGTTCCGCCCCAATAACCTTTTTTATACCAATTCCGTCCCGTGTGAAAAAAAAGTGTATGCCAATTCTGTCCCAGGTTAAAAATGTATATATACTAATTCCGTTCCGATTAAAAATAAGTATGTACTTATTTCGTCTCTATTAAATAGGTAACTGAAGTATTACAATATTACTATATAAGTATAATAAAAAATTTTAAATCCAGACATGGAGACGCACAAATAATAACTGGAAAGTTTAAAAGTTAAATAGTATTATCTTTATTTCTAAATAATATAAAATTGTTATCGTTAGTCATATATTTTACAATACACTAATATAATGCAAAAATATAAAAAGGGACGGAACTCGTACAACTAAATAAATTACATGGGATGGAATTATTATATCCATTTTAAATCCCGGGACGGAACTAGTGTATCCTTAAATTCAAATGTTACATTTGGGACAGAACTCGGATGCAAGCGTGAAGAATCCCATTAGTTTAATGACTTTTTACATATTTTAGTTAACATTTTATAATTCTATAGTCATCGAATTTATAATAGTACGAATTTTAAATTAACAAAAACTAAAAAATAGCATTAAAAATTGTTTTTTTTTTTAAAGAAAATAGGGTATATTTTTGGGTTTATTCACTTTATTGTCGTATCAAGATAAATTAATCTTCTATATACCATACGATACGTGAATCACATTATCTAAATTACATCGATAATATATTCATAAATTAAACATAACGAGATAATATAATAATAAATATTAACATTTCAAACACATTTATTTAAAACATATTTTGAAAAAATGTAAAAACAAAAAAAAAAGTACCCAAAATACCCCAAAAAAGCGTTAATGTACAAAAAACGCAAAAAAAGCAAAATAAAATGTTATGTACTTTACTCTAAGTAGTATAAATCGAATTTGTAGCTAACATAGCTTCGTTTTAGAGCAATAGAAAAAAAAGCAATTGCCTTCAAAATCCGTATTCTAGTCATCATTAATAATAAAAACGATCATGATTTCATGTGTATACAGCCAACAAGGAGATTTTCTTATGCACGAGATTTGCCACCACCGCCATTGCTGAACAACAAATTATTCACTTTCGGTCGGTTCAAAGCGCAAGTGTGTAAAAACATGTATCTATTACGAAGGAATATACCGTAAGGATTTAATTTTTTTTGTTTATAAAATATAAATATTCATATTATAAGTTTTTTATTTATAACTTTTTATTCTTACATATATATATATATTTGTAGGTTCACTCTATTTGTGATATTCTTACCGCTTATACAAACAGTTTTATTTAACATTGCTTGTGGCCATGATCCGAAACATTTGTCTTTGGGTATATTAAACGAAGAGTTTGTGGGCAACTCAGGCAAGTGTTCGCTAACTCAGACCAAAAATTGTTTTTTGGACGAAAATGTGTCGGTCAGTTGTTTAGTATTAGAAAGATTAAAAGAAAAGACATTTGAATTGGTAATTTAAATTGATATTTATTTATAATTTTGATATTTGACTGATTAGTTAAGGATAAGAGGATATTGTCCTTAATCTGAATACAATTTAATAATTGTTAATATTGTAAATTGAGTGTATAATGCAATTTGACTTATAGGTAGAATATACCAATGAAGAAGATGGAAAATATGCAGTGAAGGAAAACAAAGTATGGGGATTCATTCACTTTTCGAAAAATTTTAGTGATAACTTAGCAATCCGTTTTAACGATGCCACGGATATTTCTGATGAAAATGGAACGGATATTTCTGACAGCATGTTTGACAAAGGAACGATTCATGCATGGGTTGACAATACAAGTAAAATTTTATATGTTTACCTACATACTATTTATTTTTAAGAGTTCTGTCTATTTACTTTGTACATACATATGTTGAACATCATAGGCCGCATATCTTACCAACATGTTTTGTTTTTAATATAACCATAATTATATTGTTCGGTAACTAATTGTTTCAAATAAAACCGTAAATAAATATTACTACAAAATAATTTAATTAATTATACAGTTTATAATAATAATTGTTGTACTTAAAAGTTGGTTTTTAAATATCACGCTATCGGGATTGTAATGTAGTAACTCAAAAATATAATTTGAAACTATACCAGTTTTTCAATTAAAAAAAAAAAAGATACATTTTTTTTACGATTTACTTTCATAATTCAAGTAGGTATTTACAATATTAAATAAGAATAATAATGCTCTTGATGAAATAGTGTATATTATTTAAAAATAAAACACGTATCACTATTGTATTACAATTAATTTAAATATTTATAGTTATTTAACTTAATTACTAAACTTTAATAACTTAAATATTTATGATAGTCACTACACTAGTTTATTAACTAAAAAGAATTAAAAAAATGAAACATCTGGTGATGAGATAGTTTCAGTTTTTAAAATTAAAAAATTTTATTTATAGAGTACATAAATCCAAAATTGTAAGATAATAGACAGATTATTTTTTATTTTATAGGTATTTAATACGTTAAATCTTTAAACTTCTTTTCTTAAAATATGATTTTCCGAATTACTACACTACCCTTCTGATAGTGCAATATTAAAATGTTTATTTTAGTCATTAGATTTGACAAAAATGCAATTATAATATTTATTGTTAATATTGCATTATTGTAAATGAGGTGTATTTTTCATAAATACATTATTATTTTTGCTGAATAATTATATTCAATAAACGAGATATTTTATTATAATTAATGATTTTTTTTTATATATATATATTATATATGTATAGATAAGTATATGTATGACATGATAAAGAAGGAAGTTTTCGAAAGTTACACAGATGTCGTAGATTCTCTTTTTAACAAATGTAATAAATCAGAAAAACTTGGTAACATTCCTATTCGCGTAAGTGATACAATTTTTTCAAATTTGTCTACGCTTATCTATCTTTATACAATAGTTCACCTAACATAATAATGTATAACAATCATGAACGCCAACTGGGAGAAGGGCAAGTTCAATCACTGAAATTAAAAGAAAATACATACATATGTTTTAATAAATCAAAACTAATATTTTTTTTCCCTAAAATTTTGAAATAAATATTTACTAAATTTCTATTAAAATATCATTGATTACAATAAAGGCAATAATTATTCTTGGTGAAAAATTGTATTTATGTTGTTTAATTTCTATTCGCAGCCAGGGGCGTCATTTTCGGGGTGCAAGAGTATAATAATGCATCCCATGCATTCTTTTTAGCGCACCTAAAATGTGTGTTTGTACATAATTAATTTCATACAAGTTATATTTCAAAACTCTTATTATGCAATTTTACAAAAATGTTTTTTTTGTTATTACTTATAATTTTAACAGCATCAGAAGACATACACACAGTTATAAATAATATAATATTGGTATTACTGTACCGACTACCGAATAAAGATAATTTTCTAAATTAAAGCTTATTTTATTAATATACTATAAATTACTTATATACTTACATGTCTATGCATTTTTTAATACTGACGAGTTGTTTTATTATTTTGTTTAAATTTCAAGACGTAGGTACCTACTCGTAATTAAATTATGCTTATTTAAAAAACCTATAGGTATTGTTTAGTTATTTCTACCTATATGATGTTTTTTAACTTATTATATTTATTATACTAATATACTATACATAAAATCTATATTGTTTGTTCTGATAATAAACGTATTAAGTAGGTAATTTGTGTGTATTTCAAGTTAATATAAAATAAATAATCAATATTAAAAATAATTTGAAGTACATTTTTAAATTGTATTATACATTTGAATAAGTTATGATTGAAAAATATAATTAGGTATGGAAATTATGATTCTCGTGCCTAATAGGCTACGCGAATAGATTTCAAGTTGATTTTAATTTTCAGTATTGACTATTGGTTTAGCATCTCGTGAAAATGTAAAATGTAAAATGTAAAATGACGTCCCTGCTCGCACTTTCTTATACTTAAATGTCATTAATCTTTGTAATGTACTCATTTTTTCGTTCTTTTTCAAATAACTAAGTTTTTATTATGTTATTAAAGTTACTAGAACCTGTATATGGTAACAAGAAACCTAGTTTTATACATTATGCTTCTCCTGCAATAATAGCACTGTAAGTATAATATTTCAACTATGTTTTTTTGTTTGGAATCAATTATTTTAATAATATTATGGTTTTTAAAAACTAGATGTGCATTTTATTTACCAGCAATTTACACTGGAGCCACAATTATTTCTGAAAAAGAAGGAGGAGTTATAGAAAGAGTAGTATTATCAGGTAAGATTATAATACTAAATAAATACATTTTATTTGCAATATAAGTTGAATAAAATTGGTGAAAATTAATTATTATAAAAGGTTGTTGATTTTAAAGTTAAAATATTTAATTTTGTGATCAAATTATAGAAGTATGGTATTACATAACATAGAATTAAAATTGCGGTTTAAATACAAGTTGCAACATTTAAAAAGGTGATTATTTTTTATGGCCACAAGATGTTTTTTTTTTTAATATTGCCAAAGAAAAAAGAAAAACCTTACATGTCTGTAATTTATTTATTTGACTATATTTTATAAAATGTGCCTTTGAAAATATTCAGTTTTTTTAATTGTGTTACCCGTATCAACCTAAATGTTAAAATGTTTAAAAATTTTAAATTATGTAATTGTATTATATTACGCTTTAATTGAGTTGAAACAGTAAATGCAAATATTGTCTCCTCTAAAATATTAATTGTCACCTATCTAACTATATTAGTGTTTACAGTTTGCCATTTTTTTTGGAATTTTTTATAGTTTGGATAATTTTACTTTCAGAGCTTCGCGTTTTTATAATATACAAATAATATTAATAATTAAAAAATATTTTAGGGATGAATTTCATAGAAATCGCGTTCGCTCAGGTATTAGTACAGATGATATTTATCATCATTCAAACAACATTGGTGATGATCGTTATGTTCCTCGTTTTCGACAACCCATTCGTCGGCGACATATTTCCATCGTTTACGCTATTGACGCTGATCGGATCTGGTGGAATGTGTTTTGGTATGTATAATTATATACATATAATATTTAATAATTTATAGATTATATTATATATATGTATGTATATAGAATAATAGTAAAATACTCATTTTTTTTTTCAATATCGCTTTGGGTTAACGGCCAATGTTCTAAATTTTTATTATTTGTTTTGCTTTACAAGTTTTTACGGATTTTAGCAGTTTTCGCTTATAATTTCATCATATTTCCTTATCTAAAGGATTCCTTCAGTTTTGGGCCAATCTTAGACTGGAACTGGCTATGTGCAAGTAGTTTAGTACATACTGTCAGGAGGGGTAGATGGTCGCCCCCCCTGAAAGAAGTAGATTTACATTGACATTTGACATAGTCATTGGTTCAGAAGTAGATATAATGACATAATTTTTTAGATTCTGAGTGTAGCGAAGAATGTATTGGTTTTACAAAGATGTTTTTTTTTATGTGACCACTTTTTTTAACAGAAAGCTTTATATTGTGACAAAAAATCTTGAGATCCAGAAACCAGAAATCTTGCCCGAATATATGTACGTGTGGCATTATTTCTGAAAGGAAATATTATCTAGATGGTACTTTAGAAGGTCATGTTTTGATATCAATATCAATATCAATATTCAATATCTTGGAAAACCCGGGAGAAAGCGTAAGAAAAACAGGAAATTTATGAAAATAATGCTTTTTATTATTTTCAATTGTGTTATTTGTTGTAATTCAGTTTAAAATATTCGTAGACCTGACATTTGGGCATAAAACTTATACTTGCCTATTTTTTTACGTGATAAAACTGTAAAAACATTTGAGCTATATTTAAACTATTAACCAACACTTTTATTTTATGAATAATTTTTATTTGGTAGGTACTCTGTGGATAAAATGTTTTTGGATGTTTGGATAAAACATTTTTGCTATGATTCCGCTATTTACTTCTTCTGCAGACAGCCGTGCATAATGCTTTTATTGCTTCTGTCTGAAATTGTCGCTCCTGAATGTAATTTTTCGAATGCCCTCTGTGCTAGACGTATTCTGTGAAAGTTATTTACAAACCGAAAAAAAAACATATCGTAATAGTCAATCCAATACATTAATCGTTTTGCTTGAAATCTAAAATGAAATGTGCATCTACGCTGTATAATACAAATTTTAGTATTAATTTAATAATAAATTAATAATAACAATGTATGTTACCTATATCACTAATTTATATGTTATTTTTTATTATAGTGTTGTAAGTTTGTAGTTATTACATCAACTGTTTTTCTGTAGGATTTTTTACAGCCATCGTTTGCAGGACACAGACGGAGGCGTCATTTTTGGGCATTGGAACGAATTTTTTGTTGAAGTTTTTGTGTGGTAATTATTAACTCTTTTATGTAATGTGCTGGGTGGCTTTTAAGGTGTAAGCAGGATATACTATGAGAATCTGAGAGGAAAAGTTGTTTAAATAAATTGAAACGACAAGAAAAACAATTAAAAAATAATAACTTAACGATTTTGGAATTTCAAAGGTGACTGCGTTTTTAGAAAATAAAGTTTAATCTTAATTTTTACTCCATTATTGCTGATTTTAATACTAGTATAATATAAATACCTAAATGTTTTTGAAAGATTTTACTTAAATTTGCTATTCATTTTTTCCTGTTGTTTTCGTCTTAACTGTCAATTTTTTTTTTTTTTTTATTATTACAAACGAATTATCAAGGAGGGAATATTAAATGAAAAGGAATAACAGCTTAAAATGTTGTATTCGATATTTAAATTTTTTCTCCTATACCTAATTACCATTATAAATGATAAAGATTTCTAGACGTTTAGAAAAACACAAAACCAGTCTAGGCAATCGTATGAGGGAGGGTTAGAGATTAGAATTCTCGTTATTAAAACAAGTAATATTATTTTTGTCCTCTAAACTACCTGATTTGTCTGGGTATTTGCAGGACTCATGTGGCCAACCGAGGGTATCCACTATCTACTGCGCAGCGTTAGCGTCTACATGCCTTTGACAATGTCCACTGAGAGCTTGAGGTCACTGACCGCCAAGGGCTTGGGTCTCGAACATCCGTCCGTTTATCTGGGATTCGTGTCTATATTCTCTTGGATACTGGTCTTTTCGCTAGCCTCGTTCATCATGCTCAAACTCAAGCGGGACGTTTGGACGAAGAGTTAACCGCGAATTCCTCGTATATATCTCTACGCCACCCAATTGTTTATTTTAATATTTATATTATTATTTTATATTATAATATTACAGTGCATTCTATTGTATGTATTATAATACCGTTTTTGTGTTATCGTGTACCTATTTGAGAACCACCTGCTGTATTGACGTCGCGCGTCGCTTCAGGGCACGCGACAGTGTCCATCATCAATGTAGGTACCAACCTATGTCGGTGTATAAAACTTATAATAATTATAACAGCAGGCATTGTACACATTCATATTAAATTATTTGTATAGTATATTGTAAACGATTTATGACTGTTTTGTGCATTATTTTTTATTTCCATATATTTTTATGTCATTGAGTATGAAAACAAAAATTCACATTTTAACATTCTAGTTGTATGATACTAGCTCCTGAGTCAATTAAAGCGCTCAAAAAAGTTAATAAAGAATATTATCTATAAATATCTATAAATACAACCAAAATATCTGGATTATGTTTAAGTAAATCTTTTTTTTCTATTTAAAAATGTTTACTTAAATACATATTTTACTCATAATATAAAAACAAGTTTGTTTACGATTAATACTATATAAATATTTGTATTTATTCAATCGTTAGATTGGTTAAATGACTGATGGACTGAGAGATCCATACGTCCTTATTTATCACAGCTACTTTCATTTCCTTGTAAGTGTTTCTTCCTAAGCCCCCTATGATTTTTTTTCATAAAACCTACTATAAAATACTTTATACAGTACATTTCTTTAAATCGTTTAATAGGTCAGGCACCCATTGGCACCCGTATCAGTTAATGTTAGATTCTGAGTGTCGTGAAGAATGTATTGGTTTTATAAAAGATGTTTATTTTTTTTTTTTATATTGTGTACAAAAATTCTACTAGAAATTTTAACCCGATGTATACGATTTAGACAATTTTATGATTTTCTCGGCAGTTTTACCATTAAAAGGGAAAAAGTGAAAAAAACGTAAGTAAAACGGGAACTTTACGAAAATAATGTTTTATTATTTTTTAAATTTTGTTATTTGTTGTAGTTCAGTTAAAAACATTCGTAGAAACTTGAAATTTGAACAGAAAAATCATATTCGCTGTTTATAGACATGGTATAATTTTCAAAAAATTTAAGCCATTTTTCAAATATAAATAAACATTTTAATTTTGCGATTTGTATACCTAATTTTTATTCGGTAAGTACTGTGCGGTAAAATTGTTAGACTTATCAATACATTTTAGATAATAAATAATAAAAAAATAATTTATATTTCTTAAAATATCTATGTCTAATAATAACTAATTTTAAATAATCTCTCCTAATAAAATAAATTTCTATATTCTATGTAAACGACCGATTTGTGTAATTTTTTTCTATGTATTCCTTCATTTAATTTTAAATTCCGAGCGTGAAGAAGAAGCTATAGGTTTTGCAGTGCTGTTTATTTTTTCTTTGTTCTTTGTTCTAGTCTGTGAACACGTTTTTTCTTAGTAAACTTGCTCTGATTTTTACGTGTGGCACCTTTTCTAAAAGCTCAAGTTGTATAAATTGTACTTTAGAGAGATTATTTTTTGATTTTCGACGTCTTTTAAATAAAAGCATTTAAGTGGGAAAAAACGTAGGAAAACAGTATCAGCTCTTTTTTAGATTCAGTCGCGTTTTATATTTTGACTGTGATATAAATTTTGATATACAAATTTATTGAACATCTCAGGTCGCAAACATACTTCATACTAATGAACGGGAAAGTGGTAAGCGTTTACTGCTCACCACTCAGCGGTAATTTGGCCATACTTTATTTGGTTTACTATCCTGTGATAAGCGGTTTGTTATCACTTTTTTTCAATTTTGAGTTTCGAGTTTCGTGAAAGTGTTTGAAGATGTCTCTCGATGGCATTGAGGGCTTATTCTTTTTAGACACAAATGTATATTTACAATTGTTGACAACTAGAAATGAAAGAAAATATAGTGTTAACCATATCAACCAACAAATAAAACGGCTAGGAGAATTCACCATCTATATACAGATCTCAGAGAACATCCAGCTAAGTTCTTTGAGTATACACAAATGTCAATAAATACATATGATTTTATTCTTTAAAAGATATGTAAACGGATACAGAGGAACAGTACAGCTTCATTACCAATAACACCAGCAGCAAGGTTACTTATTACTCTGAGGTATGAAAATTACAGGAGAAGTTATTATTATTACCTTTACCTATAATTAAACAGCTAATGTATTCTGTCCATCAGTCCATGTACCTATTTATTGATTATTATAATTACTTGTATTATAGATATCTCTCTATAGAAATGTCATTCAGAGGTCTCGCATTTTCATTTCATGTTGGAAAAATAACAATGTAATATTGTATTTTTACACTAAATCATATGTTTGATTTTGTCAAACTTGAGGCTCACCGGTCACCGTTCTGTAGTATGTCCGCGGCCTTAATAATATGTGTTATCAGTCATCGTTTATCATTGTTTCATACATAGGTACCGTCATAGATAATAAACTTTATTATATGAGTATCATAACCATAGGGTAATTACTCTATGATCATTACAAAGGCATTATTTTAAGACCGTGGTAGGTATCATAACAAAATATCAAATTATCACGACTCTTGAAGTTTGAATGAATATTTCTCCCTAGATATGATATTAGGTACTATAATTTACGATTTACAATTTTAATGTTAACTAGTGAAATGACATTATAATGATAATAACGTTTAAATAGTTCCAAAAATGAGAGGATGGGCTATAGTAAATTCCCATTTTGAATTTTTGTTTTCAGCGTCAACCTATATTTATATTTTTCAATTTCCTAGATACCTGAACAGACGAAATTTAAAGTTAAAAAATTGACGCCGAGAATGCCAGTCTAAATATTCTTTAGAATTGTGTGTAGTAAGTTTATTATTTTAAACTCTAAATCATTTAATGATAAATATTCACATAATACCTATACAATTACTATAGTAGGCATACTAAATTTCGTGAAGAGATTGAATATAATCAATGTTTAAAGCAATTTTAACCTTTGGATTATGTCATTAACAATAATAATTCAATCAAACTATCTCCCCCACCCAAAAAAAGTAATGTTTGTTATTTATTATTTATTATAGTAATTAGTAGATATCAAATACTTATTAACCACTAA